GTCCTGTACCATTCCAGTCTTTGTCCTGTACCATTCCAGTCTTTGTCTTGTACCATTCCAGTCTTTGTCCTGTACCATTCCAGTCTCTGTCCTGTACCATTCCAGTCTTTGTCCTGTACCTGATATCCACGGACAGCTCTTTGGACGTGGAAGCTGAAATCAAATGACTTTTGTGGACATGTAGGCTCTGTACACAGAATGAAATGAGATCTGGAGTATCTGAAGTTGATTACCTGATTAATTAATGGGCACATAACTAATCTGTGTGACACAGGATCCTAGTGAGGTTTTAGTTTATTTTTTTGTTGTTGTTAAAACACAAGGATATTTTAGTTAACCATCTGTATCTCTCCATTAAAATTAAACTACCAAACAGATTGAGATTTATCAAATCAGTAAGGGATCAAACAAATGTTTTCTCTACTGTATCACCATCGCCCTAATGGAAATTAAGACACAAATTGCACTTAATAACCTTTGAAGTAGATAAATGATACTAAGGAGTGAACTAAGTATTAGAATAAAAGCTCACTTCAAACCCACGGACAAAACTGGTAATTCAGGGACATCGTAAATGTCATCAGGAGTTATTCTGTTGGGATATTCTTGATGGTGACCATTCCCGTTGAGCTAATTAAAATCACAAACCAATCATCAGACATCCATCCTTACAACCACAAATCGTAGCTAAAAATGTAGCAGATGAAGAAAAATAAACTGTAAAGGAAAATGTCACCTCTAGCAGCAACATTAGCTCGTGACATCATTGACTGTAACTGAATGGAATACCCTTTAAAGAGACTTTAACACGACTCTGGGTGTGTCTGTAGCCACGGCTCAGGATTTCAGAGGAAGAGATCCAAGAGATGATCGGAGAGAGAACAAGAAAGATTGAAGAGATCAAGACGTCAGTGACTGAAGTGGAGGTAAAATAAGCTTCTGCAAACATGAACATGAATTCCTGTAAATTCAATAAACCATACCTGCCATCTGTTTATTCCACTTAAACCCTGAAACGATGAGTTTGGCCTCAGTGGTTAGATGCACGTTACGTAAAACTTGCCCAGCTACTGATCTTGATGGCCCAATTGGGCGATTTTTCTATAAAATCTATTTTTCAGTCAAGATTTTAAGGTATAAACTTGACTTTTGTGTTTTTCCCATTGACGATCCAGAATCATACCCAACGATTGGAACCAAGACCTAAAATCCCAGTTTTGATCTCCCCAGATGGCGGTGGAGAGGGAGACGTCGGGCAGCGTGCGTCTCTTTTCGAAGCTGGTTTCTGCTATCGAACGCTCGCAGGCAGAGCTGATGGAGGCGGTGGAGATCAGCCGAAGGGCGGCGCACAACCACGCCGACGCCGTGATTCGGCAGCTGGAGCAAGAGATCGAAGAGCTTAGGCAGAGAGAAACTGCTCTGGCTGAGCTCGCCCAGTCAGACGACCACATCTACTGCGTCCAGGTTGGTGAGAATTTAAACGTCGATGAAGAAAGACGAAAACACCCGAGACATCCCTTTGCTTTCTTTACATTGTACCCCAGACGTTCCCTGACCTCTCCAGACCTCCCGTTACAAAAGACTGGTCTGGAGTGTCTCTGAACCCTGATCTGGGAACAGCCACAATCTACAGATCTTTGTCGGCCATGCTGGAAAAGTTCCAGGATGAACTGAAGAGCGTTGTGGAAAACGGTGAGTGCAATGCGAAACCTGCACTAAACCACACAATCTTTTTTTATTCATGGAAACAATAAATTATTTGTGGAAATGTGAGTTAATGTTTTACAGTTTAGTTTCAAACAGAGTGAACCAGTTCGTGTGGAACAAAACTTTTGAGCTTCAAAGCTTTCACCGTTCTGTAAAAAGTATTCTGTTTTTGCTTTGTCGTCACGTTTAAACGTTTGGGGTCCCTTCAAGGATTCAAGAATTCAAGGTTCTTTATTGTCATTCGCATGTGGTACATGAGGTGGAACGAAATTTTGTACACAGGCTCCCAGTTACGTCCAACAACAGCAAAAATATAAAGTTTAAAAGAAACGGTAAATAAGAATCTAAGATATCAACTAAGATATACGCTAAACGAATGCCCGACGGTTCGTTAAAATGTGTATACGCTAGGCACTAACAGTGCAAAACAATACACATAGTTCTATAATTAAGACATAGACACTTAACACACAGTCAAATGTTTTGCTGTAAAATGAAATGAAAATTAAATGTTCATTGGTAGAGAAGTTACAGAAACTAACAGGTAGGCCTGTAACGACAAACAATAAATCAATTATCGTACGTTGAATGAAAATTATCGACCTCATTTTCATTTATCAACTTTATCGTTTCTTCGTGTCTATCTTTCTACCGAAGACAGGATGAGGAAGTCTCTCGGATGAGAGACGAAACGTTTCTATATATTTTTTTTGCTTTGTTTTGTTTTTTGTTTTATTTTAATGTCCAGAGGACCAGATTGAACTTTTTTGGATTTTTCTACCTGGATTATTGAGCGTGTATCAGGATATTGATCTATATTTCTTTATTTAATGTTAATAAGGATACAACGTTATGTAGAGGTGTATTTATAACAATTTTATAGACAATTTATACTATTTACAGTCGCCGCGGAGAGTTGACGTCTTCCTGGTGTAGAGTCACGGTGTCCCGCAAGGGACAAACTTAAAAATTAAATTGGAAAAGTCGAAATTATGACTTCCTGTTGGGCTTTTATTTTTTCTTTCATGGCGGAAATGGGCTTTCATAGCAATTCTTAAAACATTATAAAAATAAAATTGTTGTCTACAAAAAGCTGAAATGTCTTGGCTTCAGTAGAATACCAAGAAAAACTCAAACCCTGTTCTTTAACACGTTTATGTCGCTAACCGTTGACAAAACAGTTAAATCGTCGTCTGGACAGATTCTTTTTGGAAGAAACGTTTCGTCTTTCATCTGAAAGACTTCATCAGTCTGAGGCCTATAGGATCTGTCGTATTAAATAGCACCTCACTGATTATTTTAAGATACAAAATAAAGACAAATCTGTAAAACTAAACAAAAAGTCGCAACACACGTCACAAATTAAGCTAGCTATAGCATAACTGCGACACGAGCTAGCTTTAGCTACACAATCAAACAGAACACACATTTCAGCTCAAATAGGTCAGATAACGTCAACACTCCTATTCCCACACAAGTACATATATACAACTTATACACATAAAGCAAGAAAAATAAATTATATCAGGACCCAGGGCACCTGCGTGGGTGCGTTCAAGTGCAGTAGGACATCCTGCTCAAACAAACAGTAATACAATAAATTAACTGGTTTTCTTAACAAATCATGATCAATTTGGTGGAATTTGAAGCATTACTTAGAGTAGTATTATTAAACTGTTACACTAGCAGTGTTCAAGCTTTTTTTTTTTTTTTTACATTTTTATCCCCATTCAGTAATTCTGCGCGTCCCCATAGTGGCACCCTGCTTAGCAACAACACAAATTGTAATGGAAATAATAGCAATAACCGGGGCTTAATTTGAGCCGGATCCAGCCAGAACAGGATCTGAGAACTCTCTTATTTTGACAAGGTGCGTTCCAGTAATTGTTTTCTTGGATCCAGTAACTGTCAGGATTACGGTACTAATAATAAATAAGTAGATTAGATGAGGATCAGTTCCTCCAAATCC